GTGATTTTTGGAATGTGCCTAAAGATGGGGGCTGGTTGCCAGTGGAGCCAAGTGAATGATTAGAGAGAGGATTGCAATCTTCAGTCCCACCCCCAGACCTCCAGGGAAGGGAGAGAGGCTGCCCCAATAGCTCATGCTTTAATTAATTATGCCTATGTAATGGAGCCTACATAAAAGCCCAAAGGACAGTCTCAGTAAGCAGAGAGCTTCTGGGCTGGTAGAGATATCGGGAGAGTGGCATGTCTGGACAGGGTGTGGAAGCTCCTCATCCTATACCACACACTTTGCCTTATACATCTTTTCCAACTGGCTGTTGATTAAGGCCCCTTGTAATAAATCTGTAGGTAATCTAGTGAGTAAACTAGTTTCCTGAGTCCTATGAGCCATTCTACCTAGCAAATTAATTGAACCCAAGGAGGTCATGGGAACCTCTGATTTATGAGCATTCAGTCAGAAGTACAACCAACAACCTGGACTTGTGATTGGCCTCTGAAGTGGAGGCAGTCTTGTGAGACCAAGCCCTTGGCCTGTGGAATCTGATGCATTTCCAGGTAGTATCAGAACTGAGCTGAACAGTAGGAGATCCAGCTAGTGTCTGAGAATTGCCTGTTGGTGAGGGACCCCCTCCATGACCTCTACTAACCCCAACACAAACACTGCAAATAGTATTAGAATCCTATTAGCATGGTACATTTCCAGATAGCAATCAGCAATATTCAAAATGAGCTTCTTACATTACACATTATATCCTAGTGAATAGATGGAAGGATAGAGAAGAAACATGTTTTAAAGCATACTTAAAACTGAATAGGGCCTATGAAGCATAACTTATATGAAAGACTGAAACAATTTCAAAATATCTTAAGTATAAAAGAAATAGGTCACATGAGTGACCACAGGAATAGGTATGGAAGGTAAGTAGAGAATATTATGGGGAGAAGGCACTGAAGGGGAGTAAGAAAATACAATGATAGACTAGGCAGGTAAAAAAGACTTTGAAGACTGGAGGACTTTCCTAGCAAACAGGAAAAACCTGCAGAAATCACACAAAATGTCATGTCTAAAAACTTTAATCCCCTAACCTCCTGGGCCTTTGATGCCTTAAGATAAACATCTGCTAATGAAGCCCCCAAACTCAGCTGGTGCTGAAGCTTCATTGAAGGGATGTATGTAAAATCATGGCTATTGTGAGATGAATCTTGAGAATGCTTAGATTTCCAAAATGGCCTTGGATTCAGAAATGGTCAGTTAAAAAAAAGAAAGAAAGAAAACGTTCAAAGCCATGAAGAAGTAACCCTTGAGAACTAAGCAACAATTAACATATAGCCAAGAAAAGATGAAGACTTAAAAGAACACACCTGATACCTATGGAATAACCAGTTTCCAGAGCAAGGATAGTGCTCTAGTGAAAAAAGAAAAAAAAGGTAGTATAAAATAGAATAGAGAGCAATAATGGTCTCGCCATGGACTAATGGCAGACCGTCACAGGACACAGAGGGGAGAATGGTTGAGGGGAGGAGCGTCAGTGCCCATCACTGGACTGTTACCTACTCACCTTCCCTTTGGGCTTGGGAGCTCCCATCTTTTTGCTTTGGGCTATATTCCTCTGTCACCTTCATATGAAATGGCCAGGTTCCAGAACTGGGGTACCACCCCATAGCCTCTGGTAATTCCAGTATGTGTAAAATGCCTTATGCTGCAAGTGGCTGCTTAGGCTGTGCCCTAACTGGGCACCCTAGAAAGAAAGGATGGGCTACCTAATGTTCAGGCTTTCCCCTGAACTTAAAATTCTGAGGTTTATGTGCTAGAAATGGGAGGAAAAAGAAAACTGGTGAATAGTTTGACATCAGGGACTTTTCTGAGAAAATGAATTCTACTGCAGGGTCAATATTCCTTTATTCCATGACCTATCCAAATCATGAACACCTTCTGCTTATACCCTAATACTTGAGCATTATCAAACTCCCAATTACCACAGAAAGGTCAAACTATGTCTGTCAAATCTGCACAGCATATATGGGTGTTATGGACCGAATGTTTGTGTTCCCCAAAATTCCTATGTTGAAATGCTAACCCCCAATGGGAAAACTGCTGGGCTTTTGGGGCTCTACAGGGCTAGATCATAAAGCTATGTGGCTGTGAATGTTTGCTATTCTTTAAGACATAGGAAAAAAGACCCAGAAGGTGATTCAGAGATCATCGGGGCTGTCACTTCCAGCAATAGGCCTGGGGTCCAAGGGCCTAGAGGGGTGAGAGTGAGGAATGCTTCCACCTTGGTTTCAAAGGGCAAGACCAAAGCCCAGGGGAGCCACAGGGGCTGGACCCCGGCTGGCAGAGCTGCGGAGGCACACCACTACCCACTGGGTGAGGAAGGCAGAACATCAAGCCAAAGAGAATCATTCTCAAGCTTAAGTGCTAAGTTTGCCTTCTTAGGTTTTGGACATGCCTGGGACTTGTCCCCCCTTGCTTCTTTCCTATTTCCCCTTTTGGAATAGGAATGTTTATCCCATGCCTGTCCTGTTACTGTGTTTTGTAGGTACATAACTTGTTGGGTTTCACAGGCTCACAGCTAGAGAGGAATTTTCCACAGGATGAGTCCTCTGATGCAAGCCATGGGTCTACGGTATTCTGCTATGGCAGCCTGCACTGAGACAGCAGGTTTTCTTATCTTGAAAGGTCTTCACTAAAAAAAAAAAATTTATCTAAAAGTTTGAGTGGCTGGAGAGTTAACCAGCTGCCAAATAACTTGGCTATCTGAAACAATTCAGTCCCTGAGGGATTCAAAGTCATGGTTTTTACTGGTTATATTATTATGCTACCAGCAAAAACCACACAGTGCTATACAGATGAGCAAAAATACAGAACAAAATTCCACGGCCACCATCTTGGAAAGCCTGAAGTCCTTGCCAGGAGTGACACTGTGATTTATAATAATAGATATTTGTTCTTTGTCACCCTCTGGCAGAGCTCCTAAAACCCTGAGGATTTTCTAAGTGAGAGTGGGAAGAGTGTCTTTTGTTATGTTAATAAGGTGATTTTTGGAATGTGCCTAAAGATGGGGGCTGGTTGCCAGTGGAGCCAAGTGAATGATTAGAGAGAGGATTGCAATCTTCAGTCCCACCCCCAGACCTCCAGGGAAGGGAGAGAGGCTGCCCCAATAGCTGATGCTTTAATTAATTATGCCTATGTAATGGAGCCTACATAAAAGCCCAAAGGACAGTCTCAGTAAGCAGAGAGCTTCTGGGCTGGTAGAGATATCGGGAGAGTGGCATGTCTGGACAGGGTGTGGAAGCTCCTCATCCTATACCACACACTTTGCCTTACACATCTTTTCCAACTGGCTGTTGATTAAGGCCCCTTGTAATAAACCTGTAGGTAATCTAGTGAGTAAACTAGTTTCCTGAGTCCTATGAGCCATTCTACCTAGCAAATTAATTGAACCCAAGGAGGTCATGGGAACCTCTGATTTATGAGCATTCAGTCAGAAGTACAACCAACAACCTGGACTTGTGATTGGCCTCTGAAGTGGAGGCAGTCTTGTGAGACCAAGCCCTTGGCCTGTGGAATCTGATGCATTTCCAGGTAGTATCAGAACTGAGCTGAACAGTAGGAGATCCAGCTAGTGTCTGAGAATTGCCTGTTGGTGAGGGACCCCCTCCATGACCTCTACTAACCCCAACACAAACACTGCAAATAGTATTAGAATCCTATTAGCATGGTACATTTCCAGATAGCAATCAGCAATATTCAAAATGAGCTTCTTACATTACACATTATATCCTAGTGAATAGAGAAGGATAGAGAAGAAACATGTTTTAAAGCATACTTAAAACTGAATAGGGCCTATGAAGCATAACTTATATGAAAGACTGAAACAATTTCAAAATATCTTAAGTATAAAAGAAATAGGTCACATGAGTGACCACAGGAATAGGTATGGAAGGTAAGTAGAGAATATTATGGGGAGAAGGCACTGAAGGGGAGTAAGAAAAATAAAGCAACTCATAGGGACAATTCAGAGGAAAGAAATGGATCTTAAGTATGGCAGAATACTAAACCAGTTTTTTGAACAAAGGTTTTGCCTCACCCTGGAATCATAATAATGAAAATTCATATCCCAAGTTCATAATCAGCAAAATTTACTGTGATAACCAGGTGGAGAAAGACAAGTATCAAATGATCTCACTCATCTGTGGAGTATAAGAACAAAGAAAAAACTGAAGGAACAAAACAGCAGACTCATAGAACCCAAGAATGGACTAACAGTTACCAAAGGGAAAGGGACTGGGGAGGGGAAAAAGGGGCATTATGATTAGCACACTTAATGTAGTGGGGAGCATGGGGAAGACAGTACAGCACAGAGAAGACAAGTAGTGATTCTATAGCATCTTACTATGCTGATAGACAGTGACTGTAATGGGGTATGTGGTAGACTTGATAATGGGGAGAAACTAGTAACCACAATGTTGCTCATGCAAGTGTATATTAATGATACCAAAAGAAAAAAGAAAAAAAAGTTTACTGTGATAAGAAGATCACTTATGACAATAAAATTAAGTAATACTCATGAAAGCATTGACCCTGTTCTTAGCAAAAATGAGTAAGTAATAACTCAGTATTTTATAACTCAGCTGATAATAACAAAAATCACAACAAGAAGAGCTGACATTTCTTGAGAGCTTACAATTTGTTAGTCATTACTCAGAAAATCCACTGTGTAGTAATTTAGCTAACCCTTACAGCAGCATCTACTGTTATCTCCACTGCACAGGCGAGAAACTGAAGCACTGGAGAAGAGGATGGGGAATTCCCAGGGCACAAAGCCAGGAGATGGCAGGGTGGGCAGTCTGCCTCCAGAGCCTGTGCCCCTAACCACCACATAAAATTCAGATTATTTTATATTTCCACCTTTTAGTTTCATTTCTAGATAATAGGCATTTCAAAATTACCAAAAGAACACAATGCACAGGAAAAATGTGCTAAAGCATTACATCACTTACCATTGGGGAAAGCTAATACACTGATGATAAGAAAGAAGAAAATAACAGAGAGGATACCCCTCCAGATGTTGTCTTCTGGAACAGAGTCATCCCTGAAAACAGAAAAGGAACATTGAGTATTCATTTTCAGATCTAAACAAACTAGGAGTAAAGTTCCATGTTCTAAAACTGGGGGATTGCTAACTTTATTTTGTCGAGCAAAGTCACTATACATACTACTCACTACTATCATTTCTGAAATAATACAATCTCATAATAAAGTCCAGTTATTACACGAAAGGCAATTGGCAACTTTACACACACCAGCACACATTCTATTCAGACAAGCATTTGCAAGAGATTGTTCTTTAAAAAAAAAAATAGCGGGCATATTAAAAGATAAAGTTTATTTTGGAGAAATGCCTTTCGGTTTCAAGACTAAAGATAGCCTTCATGACACAGACTGCAGAAAAGAATTTTTTCAGGAAATAGAAAGCATAAGATTATAAGGAAGAAGGCATAATGCAATGAGATTATATAATCAATTCTTAAACATGGGCAGTTGGCCATCTAAAGGACAATGAAAATGGTGGGGAGGAGGAAGAGAGAAAATTCTGGGTAATAAGAAAACACTAGCAAAAAGAATGTTAAAAGAAAAACCAAGAGAAAACAAAATAAAAGAGTTAATATCGGACAAGAAGCAAAGAATTACAAAGAAAGGAGACAAGCTTCCTCCATCTCATGCCTAGTCATTGCTAAGATTTTGAAATAACGAATCACACAAATTGTAAATGTTTCTTAGAACATCATATGGCCAAACAGCATTAATACTAGCGCTGAACAAAAAATGCTTGACTGTTAACTTCTTAGATCTGCTTACAAAACCAAACTTCCAAACCAGTCAGACTTCCTCTTGCAGTGAAACGCAATCTTACTCTAATGGACACCCTAACAATTTAACACCTGCCCAGAAGTTACTAACACAGTCCTAAAAATGCCAGCCAGATCATTACTAGAGTACTTGCCATGCCCTTTGGCTTAAGCATGGAAGCCCCATATCCAATTTCCAGGAACACCAGCTTCTATTGAAGAATGGCTACACACAGGAATATGCAGGGGGCACGATGTCCTCATTCAGACCAACCTCACACTACTAATATTGGTAATGATGATGACAATAAGAGCTCTTGTTTATCAAGTATCTACTGTATGCCAGGCACTAAATAGGCAGTTTATAAACACTATCTCTAATTGTCACAACCCACTTGCAAAATGGGGTATTATCAACCACATACAAATGAGGTACAAAGGCTCAGAAAGGTTATGTAACTTGCCCAAGATTGCATAGCTAAGAAGTTGAAGAGTGGGCATTTGAAGCCAGGTCTGCTAGACTCTGAAGATGATCTTTTGCTAATGCCCACTGCCTCCTGAAAAAAATCACCTGACATTCTAAATCAATCTGACTCATGTTAGATGCACAGGGATGGTATAAGAGAGATGGACAGGGCACACACTTTATAAGTTACAAAGTAAAAGCAAGGCTGAAATGAGTAACTATTGCCTGGTAAAAGAAAGCTGATTCCATAACTCAATAGTTAATACCAAAATGCATTCTGGATGGTTCAAAGAATAAAAATTTTTAAAAAAATTCTAAAAGAAACAATAAGAGAAATGAAAAACCAAAAACAAAACACACAATCTCAGAGTAGGGAAGACCTTTCTAAAGCATGACACAAACCTTGAAGTCATAAATAAAGGAAAAAATTGATAAATTTGCATGGTAAAAAATTCAGTAAAGGAAATGTGATAAACTTGGAAAAAATATTTGCAACTCATATCAAGGCAAAGGTTGATTTCCCTAATACACAAAGCACTCCTCAAAAATCAATGAACAGAAAAGGACAACAAATGGACAAAGTAAAGCAAATAGAAAAATGGGCAAAGGATATGAAAGGATGGTTCATAAGTCCAATGGCTGAAATCCAATGGCTCTAATGCAAGTGAGAAGATGCTTAACCTCGACCATGGCAAGAGACAAATTAAAATAACTCTGAGACCATTATCTATCTATCTCATGGGCAAAGGTAGACATCTAATGACTAAGCTGGTGAAGATAGGAAGAAACAAACTGGAACCCCTCATACATGTACTAGTGGTAGTACAAATTTAAATCACCTTTATGGAAGGTGATTTGGCAACATATTAAACTTATAAATGCATATGCCCTGTGACTCAGAAATTTTACATATGGAAATTTGTAATAGATATACCCCCATTTATGCAAGAAGGACATATACAAGGTTGCTTATGGTGTCACATGTACTAAAGTAAAAGACTGGAAACAAGCTAAACATCTGCCAAGAGGGAACTGATTAAATTATGGTCCCATCTCATAATGGAATACCAGGTAGCCATAAAAAGAAGGATGCTTTTTATGAGTTAATGGGTACAGAATAACTTAAGAGATATTATAAAGTAAATGAAGCAAGTTGTAGAACAGTAAGGATAGTAAGCAGCTATTTATGCAAAAAAGGGGGCATATTTATGTGCATGTAACTTGTAACTTGTGCTTATAGCTTCATAACATGTCTGGAAATCTACCCAAGAATCTGGTTTTAACTGTGGAGTTGGGAAAAGAGGAGTGGCAGGGAGACTTCACATACCCTCTGGTGTATCTTGGATTTTAAGCAGGATGGATACTTTATTCTTTTCAAAAGAGCTAATTAATTAAAATTTTAATTAAATAAATGGTATTTTATGGTAAACCAGCAAACTCTATTTAAAATTGCCTACAGTCAAAATGCTTGAGAACATACATCAACATTGTTTGTAAGAACTTGAGATCAGTAACATATAATGATATAAAACCAATGAAACTGCAATTTTGTAAATTTTCAGCAATTTTATTAGAAACACAGGATAAAATAGATGGCCTAGTTTCAGGAGAGAAAAAAGACCAATTAAACATGAGTAACATAGCAGTATATCTGAAAAGCTGGCACTTTTATAGTTGTCTTAGTAGAAAAAAATTTTTGAAATATGGACAGCAACGTTTTTAGATAACCTGAAAATATACAAGAATTTCAAACTTCTCTGATCAAAGATTGGTGGGCTGCTGAGCTTAAGAAGTAACCTGAATCATATCAGATTAGTAGCCCCAGCTTCACTCTTTCTTGAGAGTGAAAAGATTACATCTACAGCATCTAGAAAAGCTCCAAGAGGTAGCTGCTGAAGCATGCCTAACCCCCCTCTGGCCACTCCCCCATCCCCGTCCCTGACAACATGACCACGAAGGACCATTCTCTAAAGTCTGGGGTGAGTTCATCCTCTCTCACCTCCCAATAATCCAGAGACTTAACCATACACTGAAGCATATATACAGAAATTTCCAATAGTTAATCATGAAAAGCAACTTGGCTGCAAAGGCCACAAGACCACACTATCAAATCCAGATTAGTTATCTCTGGACATCCACTGCATCTGTGACTCACTTAGATCTAGGCTAGCTCTTTGGCATGTCAGCTCTCTTAATAACATCCTAAAAGGGAGAAATGATCATAATGTGAATTTTACTGATGGGGCCTGGCTCTGAAGTCCAAGTTCTCTCCCCTTTAGGTAGCTGCTTGGTACAGTGACCAGGAATACAGACTTTGGGCCAGACTGCCTGGACCAGAATTCTGCTTCAACAATTATCACCCTGTATGATCTTGGGGAGATTACTTAACTTCTCTGTGCCCTAGTTTCCTCCCCAGTACATTGAGGAAAATAATAGTTCCACCTCACTGGGGTGTTGTGAAGATAAAATAACACATGTAAAGTCCTTAGAGTAGTGCCTGGCCCAGAGAAAGTGCTGGTTTTATTAGTTCAGTGTAATTGAATGTCATTCCTTCATCTAGCTAAAGCCTATTGCTGGGTTAGGTACTAGGCTGGGGGCTGCGAAGGCAAAGATGAATGGACATGGTCCTACTCTTGAGATAATTATGATGAAATGGACAATGAGATGCAAAATAATTATCTTAGTATAGTTTTAGTCTGAGAGAAAAGCTTTTTATTTTTATTTGCTCTAACCTGTCAAACCAAAAAAGTAAAATAAAGGACTTCAAGCTTTCAACTGCTATGGTCCAATAGCTCCCTCACTTCTTTCCTAGGTCTACTGTAGCTACTAACAACAAACATCTTAAGTCTCTGGTGCTCTAAACTTTGCAAAGAACTTTTGCTGCAGGCATTTTATTTATCTGCTCCACAGTTCTGTGGGGAAGTATTATCTTTACTTGAAGGATGAGGAAAATAAAGTTCTTGTCTTATTTTGCCCACAATTACACACACACAGAGGCAGAGTGGAAGTAGAAGCTAGGGCTCTGGAATACTGGCTCTAGGTCAAGATTGCTACATTTACGAGTATGATACACACAGACAAGCTTAGGGAGGCCAAGTTCTCTTCTCTCTGCTGAACTTAGGAGGTACTCCAGAAGCATGCTAAAGTAAGCTAGACTACATACATTGATAATACCCAGTGAAATTGTAATTTAAGCTCCAGAAGGCACTGGTCCCATCTCATTCCTCCCAGGAAACTCCAGTGCCCAGCACAGCACTTGGCACAAGAGGCATTCTCAACACAGTGGATACCAGAATGAGCAAGATGCTCTGGCTGAGTGGGCCCAGTGACACAGGTAACGGGAGGATGAATCACAGCCTGAGGCCACAGGGTCCACTGACAACAGCAGCTCTCAGGCCCTAGTGCTGAATAGCCAATCAATTACCTAAACACTTTGACTCCTTCTGTCAAACTGTTTCAATCAGGATAGGTAACTATCCAGAGAAGAGGTAATACATAAAAAGCAGGAAAACTGTAAGGAAAGCCCTAAGTTTAAAAACAAAAAAACAGTTTGCACTTTTAGAAAAAGTTTTGGACTCAGATTCTATGGCAGTTTAATGTCTGACAGCAGACAGTGGGCAAGGAGACAGTTCGGGGAAACTAAAGCAAACTCCATTCACTTCCATGCAATCTTTAGACAAGGCTTTCTCCCTGGGGTCAGGCAGACAATAACCCTTTTGCATGAATCCTAAGGCTGCTAAGTTGACTGCTCTCCCTCTGCTCCTATATTCTCCTTCC